GTCCCGGCAGCCGAACCCCCCTACGAGGTGGGGGCTCGAGGGGAAGCCTGGGGGCTCGGGCTCGCTGCTGCGGCTGTGAACATCTGGAGCCCCGCTCGCCGTTGCCAGCCTGTCGTGGGCGAAAATTGCAAATCTGAGAGTATACCGAGAAAGATGATGCTGTAAAGACAACAAATTCTGCTCTCTTTTCATTTCTCTCCTGGTCTATGTACCAGCAAGGGATGCATTTTAAAGCGCTGCCGCTCTGCGGGAGCACTCACAATTGGGGGGTTTCGTATTCAAGGGATGGAGTTTGCCAATAGATGGAAAACCGCAGAGGCCGGAGTCTTGGAGGGCTGCGTCCTGCCGGGGGCTGGGCTTTGAGACTGCAGAAAAAGATGCGATAAAAAGGAAAAAGATGAGATAAATTTGTAATAGCTGAGGACACTCAGCCGCTTTGCAATTCTTGGTGATGTTGAAAGTAATATAAGGCAGCCTTTTCAAACGCTTGCTGTCCTGGTTGCCTCTCGCCTCCCTTCTCCTCCTCTTCTCCTTCCCCTCCCCTTTTCTTTTTCCCATCTCCGCTCAGTCTCTGCCCGTCTCAGGTTGTAGCCTGGAGGGGGGGCGCAGGGGGAAAAGAAAAAGGCTTTTCTGTGTAAAAAGATCTCTAAACTAGGAGAAAAGGAGAAAAACGAGGAGCGCCTTTGGGAGAGCCGTGGTTTCTGAGCTGATGCGAGCGCGTGGCTTGTTGGCGAGGAGGTGGCTATTGTCAGCGGTGGGAGCTGCTGCGGCACGGGGCTCGCTTTAACCACCAGCGCCGGGGACGGGGAGCTGCCCGGCGTCCTCACGTGTGCTTTTCCGAGCGCGACTTTTATCCGATGCCGGGGCAGCCGTCTTAAATTCCATCACTGCTTGGGGCTTCCCGGGTGAGAAGGCTCTGTTACGGGTCTGTAACGGAGCCCGTGTTTCTCCCCCTGCACCGGCACCCCAGGATTGAAGGAGTCAGAGCCGACATGCGGTGGGCTGCCGCGGCGCCGGAGTCGGGATGCGCGTGGGCGTTCTTCTCCTCCAGCGTTTGTGAGCTGCCCTCCCTTCCAGCCCCGCGACTGCTCGCCTGTCTCTGGGCAGTAATTGCTTCCTTCCAGCCGCTCATTGGTTCCCAGCGCCCTTGGGTGCTCCTGATCCCATGGATTTTCCTCTTTTCATCCCCCCCTTTTTTTTTTTTTTCTAATTATAGGTGTATAACTCAGATGCTTTAGTTCGGCTCCATGTATTGCCGGGGGAGGCAGATGCCTGGCAGACGAGGCAAGCAGGGAGCTGTAAATTAGCCACACGCACACAAAAAATAAAGGGGAAGCGTTTGCACCGAGCGAACCGTAATGGGATTTCATCTTTCAAACGAAGTGCCGGGGAGATGGGGTGAAGGGCCGGGCGGTGAGCGTGTCTTCTGCCTCTGGCTGTGTCAGCTGGGGATTCCGGCCTCTGTCACTGGGAAAAAAAAATAAAGGAAGTTTTGTAGAGGAGTGAAGAAAGCGTCACCCGTAGCAATAGGTTAATGGCAACACAGCCCTGGCTGCCGCAGAGACACCCGTCTGACCTGTCATCGCTTCTGCCGGAGCACGAAGCCACCCTCGGACGGCTACAGAGGCTCAGAAATTCCCTTTTGCATCTTAAAGGTCACAATATTAAAGCTTAATATCCTGAGAAGGTGTGTGAGAGCGGTGGCCCGCGGATGGCTCTGCTGCTCAGCCCCTGCCCGGAGGCTCGGCTCGGCTCGGCGGGGGTCTCTGGGTCGCCGTGGGGTGTCTGTCCCTGCCAAACCCTGTCCCCAAAGTCCCCCTCCTGCTCTTTTCCAGCCATGTCCCTTTCCAGCAGCTCTGCAGCGCTGGGTAGGTGAGAGCGGCTGTTTGTGCTCGGTGTGACCGCTCACGGGTGGCACCCACCAACGTCCTCCTTTCAACGGGGCTTTGCCCAAAGTCATCCAGAGGTTCCAAGTCGCCGAAGTTGTCCTCGAGCCCGCGTCTGCCGCGGTGCTGCCCAGCGCCCTGCCTGCAGGTCACGGCACGCCGGCGCCCGCTTCGCCCTAAGACATGATTCACATTGTGATGAAAAGAGGAGCGTTGTGTCCTGCCCTGCTCATTGCTGAGGGCTCCGGTCTTTCATACGCGGAGCAGCAGAAGGTGGTGCAGGCGCTGGGTGAGCAGCGGGATGGGGCTCAGCTCGGCTTCCCCGGCAAAGCCCCGGCAGCGCCGGCGGCGCTTCTCCGATCCGCTGCGGCCCCTTGCCTGCAGCGCCGGGGTTGGAAACACTGGAATGCTCTCCCTCAATTATCATCCCAGCGAGCGGAAAGGCTGACACTATAATTAGCGCCGACTCCTGCGGCGTAATGACACCTCGGTTCGCGTGCGGGGCGGCAGCGCCGGTGCTGCGGGAGGAGGCGGGAGGTGCTGAGCCGAGAAGCTGGGGATGCTCAGCGCCTCCGCACGGCTCCCAGGCGCGGGCTGCCGGCTCGCCCGGCCCCTGGGCTTGCGAAATCTCTCGGCGCTGGCTTCGGCAGCCGCGCACGGCTCTGGTGCTGTGTCTGGTGCTGGTTCTGTTTCCCAACGCGCTCGCGGGGAGCGTGTCACCAGAGGTTGTCCAGGGGGTTCCAAGGGGTTTCTGTCCCAGCCGTGTCTTCATAAAGCTTCCCGTGCCTCGGGGGGGGATGCGATGCTGGGGCTGCTGCGGCAAGGAGGATGCGGCCGGGAGGGGACTGCTCCCGGCTGTCGGCACCTTCCAGACCTCTGGTCCTCCCAAGTGCCTCTGATGGGCTGTAGGTGATCTTCCTCCTCTGAAACCTGTCGTGTTTCACCGCTGAGGTCAAACTCTGCCAAATCCCTCCATCCAGAGGTGAAAACCCTCGCGAGGACCGGGTCTGGCCCTGTTCTCCTCCTCCACTGGTGGGGAAGGGGCTCCCTCTTTTATTGCCAGCAGAGAGCAGTTTTATTTACTTTGAGCCCCATTTAAGGATGGACACGTTTTGGTCTTGGCAATGGATCTGTCTTTGGTTTCAGGCAAATGTGCTGGAAGCCGGTTAATGTGCGGGTGAGATAATTGAACGTAAAGACCAGCCTCACGCATTCGGTTTGTATTTAGTGGGCTCTGCCGGCAAGCGAAAGGTTTGTTAATTTGTTCCAAAGCTGGGGCTGGCAATGTAAAGAATAAATTGATAATGACAGGAGATGCCAAACTGCAGACTGTTCCTGCTAATTAATATTCATATATGCCGGGTTTAGTGGAACATTAATTATGTATTTAATCAAGCCCTGTTTATTCTGGTTTATCTTTGTACCTTGGGTGGCTGTTATGCTGAAGACTTCAGATTAATTAAAATGTTACTGGTGTATCACAAATAACAATTAGCGAGGTGTGAGCTGACCCGCCTTTCTCTTTGTGCTCATTTCGAAGGGAGGAGGAGAGCCCGTAGGACGGTGCTCGTGGGGCCGTGTGGGGCCGCTGCTGCCCCCCCGGGGAGCTCCTGGAGGGGTCTGCCCTGCTCTGAGCCGCGCCGTGGGGGTGTGGGACCAGGGGGCTCCTCCGGCGTGGAGATGCTGCGGGAGCCTACATCCCTAATGCTCATACTACAGGTGGGGTTGAGGACGGGACCAAGGCTGTTCTGCATCCATCTTCACGCCCCGCGGCTCTCCCGGGAGTCACGGTGCTCACGGGGGTGCAGTGGGGGGGGTCTGCGCCTGCCTGGGATCTCCTTTCCCGGTGGGTGTCTGTACACGGCGGTGGATGTGGGGAAGGAGCTGCGGGTGTTTTCTCTGCCGGGTTGTGGCGATGCCCGGCCTTGCTTTCCTCCGGCAGTTGGGAAACGTGGGTTTCTCTTCCACAAAAGCCGCTCTGCTGGTGCCAGGTCCTGGCTGGGATCCCGCTCGCTGCGGGGCCCGCGGTGCCGCATCCCCTCGTCACCCCGAGGAGCATCCCCGCGGGCGCACCCTCCGCTGCCGCTGGCTCCCGGGGAGGCAGCGGGGCTGATGCGGGGCCGGTCGGTCGCTGGCAGGCGTGAGTGAGGGGATGCTTCCAGCCACCCGAACGTTACCACGGAAACCTGAATTTTCCTTTTCGGTTGGGATGAGGTGGGCAGAGCCAGGCAGCCCCCGACCCCGGCGTGTACCACAAACCCATCCCAGGAGCTGCAGGCAGAGCCGGAGTCATCCGCTCTGCTCCAGCCCTTTCCTTCCTGCAAGAAAACACTTTGCTTTTCTGTATTCAGTCCTATCGCTCCATGTTTGCTCCCCCATTCAATTTCTGCGACGTTTCCGCCTCAAGCGTCGCCGTTAAGCAGAGGTGTCTGGGAGGGAGCAAACAGGATGCGGCAGCGGCGCCGCGGCGTGCACAGAGCCACCAGGTCGTGGTGCAAGGTGGCACTGACATCCCTTCCTCGCTCCCCAAATCTCATGTGGCTCCGCCTGAGGCTTTCTCTCCCGTTCCCATTGCCAGAAACCCATTAATAAGCTGGATGATTTTTTTTTTTTTTAATGAAAAGGAACAAAGCAAGGAGCTGAATGCAGAATGAATTCAGCCTCGGTGGCGAAGGTGCTGCGGGGAGGAGGGAGGGATGGTGGGGTGTCACTACGGGCAGGAGGGAAAAGGTTTTAAATGGAAGAAATTTTAGATGGTGGCATCTATGATAAGGACGAACGAGTCTCCTGAGCAGCTGAACTGGGTTGGGGGGAAGATCCCCGCACCCCCAGGTGACAGCATCCCAGTTCATCCC